CATCAAATCTCAAACTGGCTACATCTGCAAGTATTTCAACGTTTCCACGGCACATTCTAATCCCGTTCCGTAACAACCTATGCCCACGCGCCGATAAGTCAAAAGGCCCTGTCTACCGGGTGGCGTTATACTTTACTAGGCGAACGTAGGCACAATCAATAGTGTTGGATGAGGTGCCCGTCATGGACTCTTCTTGCATGGGCTTAGTAGATACCTTGGACCACCAGGGTATCATCCCCAGAGCACGACTGAGATCCCCGATGCGCACTCCTTCGTCCATGTCCTTCCACTCCTTGGGCCTGTGCACCTGAAACATGCTTCATCTGGGTTTAGCGTAGGACATGCAGGCACCACAACACACACCGTCCTTTGTAAGGGCATCAACGGAACAACATATACGGCTTACAATGGATGAGGTGCCACCTCCCGTGCGTATGTCTCTTGAGTGAGGTGCCGAAATCCTGGACCCATCGGACCAATGTCTCTCCTCCTGCACACCAGATAAACATCCCACACCTTTCAATGGCCATCGGAAACACACCCAGTCGGCACGCCAACGATCCTCACCTCATATCCCATCGCCCTTGCCTCGGCCATTAGAACGACTCTGTAGTCAAATGTCGGTAACTCCGGCAGTATGACATCCTCGAGGCTTGTTGCGCTGTGATTTACGAGTCTGTAATCCGCTATTGACGTCATAAACCGTCGACCTTTGGCACGTGTAATGCTCGACTCCGACTCGTCCGGATACGTGGCGTATATGAGCCTCAGGTACATGAACGGTGTGGGTGCATCGGGTGTTATTGCAAGAGACGCACGGGCTTCTGAAATCGCGCGCGCCCTGTGTTGTCTAGGACTGCGCCTTCCACTACCCATGAATGGGTCCAGAGACCTCAGAATCGTGGCCGCGCTAAGGGTCTCACCTCGTTGTGACATTATGGCACCCTGCACCTGCATTATGGCGTAGGCTATAGTGGGCTTAGACCGTATGAAATAACCCCGGGTGTTGCGCCGACGAGGCTCCAGCACGTCGCGCGCTTTACAACGCGTTGCGCTCATCATGCCACTACCAACTAAAATCAGTAACATTAGACGGACGTTAGGGTTCTGTAAGTGTCCGTCCTACGGGAATCGAGGAACGGGCTGCTGGGACGATGTGAAGCGGTGTGGAGTGGTTTGTGGAGTGTTGGCACGCTTTCATGGTCAACTGGGTGTACCGAGCACAAACTGCAAAATTAGTTCGCGCTTTCTTCAGATTGTGCCATATCGGGGAGGTGAACATCATACTCGCTCTCGGCTTGAGCGTGGAAATCCCTATATCCCCAACGTGAACAATCTCGTTACGTACACAATGATTGACGATGTGCTTATTATTCGACAAATACAACGGTTATTGAGATCAATACAACCATCAGTTACTACATCCCATACTCAATATCCCCATGCACGCTAGACAGGGATGCCGTTGGGGAGTTGAAGCATATCTCCTCGCTGGCCGTGGAAGACATGGACGAGGAAGGCGCGTATGAATGCCTCCTAACCTTCTTCTCTGGTGTGCGCAGCAGTCGGTCAACGAGGTCCGGGTTCCCCAAGCGCTTAAGCATGACGACGACACTCGGAGCTACTCCCGTCGCGCTAGCAAGCCTTGTGTACGCATCAGATGCCATACGCATGAACCGGCGGCGAGTCCTGTCGTCCCATGAGACACGGCCGACATTGCTTGAATCATCAATCCGACGGATGACCGGCTCAGGAACACGTTCGGCCGTATCCTCGTCCATGGTGTCATCCCAAGTTGCGTAGTCCAATGCTTCCATCACGCAGTCGGGGATGTCCAACTGGTCCAGCCTCCTCTGCAGGCCCGTGAGGCTAGCGACGAGCTGCTCCACAACCTCGACATGCAGGTCGCGGTTGATCGCGTGAAGCCGAGGCAGCCACTCGTCCGGGACGCACCCAGTGCGCCAAAACGCGAGCTGAATGTGAGATGTCGCCACCCCCCACAGTGCCTGGTATGTCCACTGCAACGTGTTCGCGGCCGATGGAGAGTTGCTGGTCCACACCCAAGCTGGAGGCACGCGCCTCATGAAGCGAGTCTGGTGGTCCACCCACATTGTGCGGAATTCGGACCTGAAGAACGTGACAATGCCCTGCACGACGGGGTTCCCCACGTCTGGTACAGTATGATGAAGCTGCACAATGCGAGTATGGGTTAGGTGGTGCACCATGAAGGGCCCACTCGGCTCTCGCTTGCCCTCTCCCCAAGTGAGCTTGTGCCTACGCGAGGACACAAGGACGACGATGTCACGGTCCTCTGCAAATTTCGCAGCGTTGAGGCCTAGCATGAACTGCGTGAAAAGCTGCACGTAACAACATAGAGTATCACAGAGACATATATTGAGCACCAACGTCTTGAGTCCATATATAGGAGACATTTTTGCGTGTCATCTCTAGTACATTTCGCCATTACCTGGGGGGTTATGCGGCCGGACCGAGTACGGCGGATATATGCCCACTCGTCGCCACTGACATCGTGGCCCAGCCTCAGTGGCTCCCGATCGGGGCTCACTACAATGGGCCTGAAGCAATGCGCGCCGTCTGCGGAATAGAGAAGGCCAATAGACAGCCTCTTCATATCATTCCCATTGCGCCCGACGAACGGATGCAGGTATGGCTGCAGAGCAGGTAGGAGAGAAACCTCTACAAATATGTAGACGTCGCTAGGAGGTGCGCCAAGGCGCGACAAGAGATCCTTTAGAGCGGCCATGGAAGTAAAGTGGCGTCTGCTATACATGGCGGCATATGATATAGCCGGTAGGTTTGGCGGGTACAGCGTCCAATGTAGCTGCTAATTGACAATGAGTGAGTCTAGCTTCTGAAAAGCATCGGCGCTAGCTGGCCACTCCCTCTTTGCCCTGACAGGCGTGGATTGGCCACAGAAGCTACTGATTGCGCAATGACGTGGGTACACCTCATAGGCTACCACGGTTGTGCACGCTTGAAACCACATGTTTGTGCCCTGAAAGCTAATCTGTTAGTGACCTTTCCGTACCCTGTATAGTATATGCCCGGGTCAGTTGGGGTTCCAAGATATTGTGCGCATGAATGCGTACGTCGGTACACTGTTACAATGGCTGGTATAGTTCTACTATTTAGGAACTTTCACGCCGCATCGCCCTAAACATCAATCTACATCATTTATTTTGGATGCTCCACTCATCGTCGGTACGTTCAGTGTTTGACAATAATTCAATGGTGTAACTGAAACGAAGTCGAAATAAATCCATCCGCGTCAAGGTGAGTGGCCGAAATGTTACATCGCTTTTAATCGCATTTGGTTATGTTCATAACGGGACATATGTCGTCCCGATAAGGGCTGCACAATTGAGTGTATAAAGGTTCCGCATAGTCTCAGCTGTGCATGTTGACGAGGGTACAGTAATCTCGGCACAATTGCACTGTGACAAGTGTCAAATATGGCTGGAACCCGCTGCCAATCACGAACCGCCATGGTGGTATCCACATTCTAGAATCGCGATCTGACCCTGGGTCTTCGTCGTCTGAGCAAATCCGATATTTGTACCCGAAGGTGCCTGGTGGAGTGTATAAACGCTTCAGTCGCACTACAGCCCGACAGTTAAGTTCTTGCCACACTAGGGTTTCGGCCTCTCTCACGAACTCGTAGTAGCCATGGTACCGCGAACCAAAGCCCAGGCCTCTAAACGCGGCCTCCATAGTCCACAAGCCATGACATCGCGTAGGCCACCGGCAGCGGCGCGGCGGGATAACACCACGATCCCGAAATCGCTGAGCAACAAGCGGCTGCGCTCGCGTGCACTCCAGCAGGGGGATACGAATACGGAGGCCGCAGTGGCCGCGTCGGTTTCCGCATGGGGCTCGCGGCTGCCATGCGTCAAAGAAGAGCCCGCGCCGAATGACGCGCTGACTGCTCTACTGAACGCACCATCTTCAACGACTTTTAAGACGGTGTCTCTGTATAACCACATGGGTGTGGGCTGTCAATTGAATGCGCACGACGCCTTGACGCTCACCGACAAGAAATATCTGGGGGACGCGGTCGTCGATTTCCATAACATGTACGTTTTTGGATGGCGATACTCCTACAGGTTGCTTTGTCGCCACCCTACGGTATGCCGACTTTAACGTTTAAACTTTCATCGTGCGTTGTCCCTTCGCACCCGTGCAGCCTCCTGAACATCAGGTACCCAAGGTGTCCGAACGGGAAATCATGAGTGGTCCTTGACAGCAAGGCGTATGCGTATGCCAAGATTCACGGGAAGCCGATTGGGAGGTGCACGGGCCCGTCTGTGTTCGTTACATCGCCGTCCCGATATTTGCCGGGTAAGTACGTCTTTTGCCCGCCACTGTTATAAGCCCGTCTGTCGCCCCAGCCTAACAAAGACCCCTCAATTGTGCAGGGAACACTATTCTTTGATGGTGGTAACCAACCCGAGCGGGATTGTAAGCCAGACGGCCGCACCTGTGGAGTTCATTCTATTCGACAGTGACGGCCTCCACGCCAAGACTACTGATGCCTTTGACGGGACTAAAGCGTGAGAGTCGCTATATACCACCGTGCAACCCCCTTTCAGCGGTGACGTCCTGCGACCTCATCTGACCTGTTGGCTATATCGTCGTGCAGGTTATTGCACCTCATGTGCAGAGATCATCCGGAGGTGGACCAGGAGGCGTCTAGGCAGGCGCTCATCAAGGCCGAAACGATAATCATGGAGGTGAGATGCTGCAAAGACAGTATGGCTCATTCTATCCCACTTGGTTGCTAATACGGGAGCGCGTTCTGATGAACGGAAACATCGTGTCTCGATGGTGCGCAAGGTCACCAGATCCCCAAACAACCTAACAGCTGGGACTGCGGAGTGTACATGTGCCAGTATCTCGAAGCTCTGGTGACATCTGGGTTCATAACCGTGAGAGAGTACATATCGTTCAAGGGCGTGAGCGCTGAGAGGTACCGCCACAAGATGCGTGGGGATCTTTGTTCTCATGCCGAGGGAACGCTGATTCCCGAGCTGCAGCGCCAGGGTCTCCGCATACCTCTGCAGCCTGTTCCCGTTATCGACGACAACGGATACATATGCGTCGACCCTCCTGTGGACATCCGAAGAGAGCTGCTAGACCACAAGGAGAAGTTCGCTGTGATTGAGCACGACATACAGGTTCTGACGGCCAAGATCGAGTATCTGGCCATCCGCAAAGGCGTGACGTCGGACGAGCTGGACGCAGGGGCGCGCCAACACCTGGGTGCCGTGGTCGACACGCTGGTGCCGACGGCGACTCCACGCAAGCACGCCAAAGCAGAAACCACCGCGGACGGAAGTGGCCAGATGGAGGTCGCGCGGACTCCTCCGACGCGTGCACTGGCGGCAGTGCCATCAATCTCTCCCTGTCCTGCACCTCACACACCTGCCGTGAAAGATAGCCAAGCTACTGCCGGTGACGCGACACCTGCTGTGGTCAGGCAACAACAGCGCGGCCATCTTGCACTGGCTTTGCGCAGCCGCGCTACGACTCCCGTGCCCGCAGCTCCAGGTAACCCCGGAAGGGTCGCAAGCAGCGGCCGAACGGGAGTTATGTGGAACGCAGCGAAGCAGAGGTACTACGTCCGGATCATATCTGCTCGCCGTCAGCAGGTTCGTCTGGGGTCGTACGAGGACAAGGACGAGGCGTCATACGCGTATGCTGCGGGAGCCGTTGTACTTCGCCCGAACTCACGCATCAGCTGCACGGTGGAGCTGTCCGACGGTGACAGGTAGGCTTTAGCCGGCTGCACCGAGGAGATCCTAAGGCTACTCGTGAAGTACAGGCGCTGGAACAGATGGAGGGAGTGGAGAGCCGCAATGGCTGGCCTGGACGATGCGCAGCCGGTCGAGACCCGTTCGCGGCGAAAGGGCAGAGTGTCCCGGGCCATTAGTGACGTTGAGGAGGTGGAGGCGACCACGCAGACTACAGAGGACCAGCCTATGGCTGAAGAGCCTGAGGACCCACCAGAGGACTACACGGATGACGATGAGTCCGTTGACGATGATGCTGTGTATGAACCGGGAAACGATGATTTCGACGAAGAAGATGACTGGGAGGAGGTCAACCGTGCAGAGGGTGATGCCTGAAGCCATGAACAGGGTGGCCATTGGACCACGGGATGTTCTAGTTCTGTGCTCATACTGATAGGACTTAGAGCTGGTGGCGGGTAGGTGGATCTGGAAATGTAAGCATCGCATGTATCATGGTATTGAACTGTCTATATCGAGATGTAAATATACGACAAATAACACTAAAACTTTGCACATGTAGAAACTGTAACCACAGTTGGGGCTAGTGGCAAATGCTGAAATAAGGGGGTGTATAAGTGGAGTATCGCATCTGACAGAAACAAGGACGAGCATCGACGATGTGACAATCGTGGCACGGCGACATTTTACATGTGGAAAGTGTGGCTGACATTTGACTGTAATCAAACTGGCCACTCTAACCGTGACATGTGTAGAATTGTGCGCGTGGCCAAGAGCTTGAGGCAACTAGTGCGGTGAGAAACTCCGGTATCGGGCATTGCGATATCCACGAGAGTGGTAAGGGGACTGTTGCGAGCGAGGGTAGAAGCCCGGGGTGGTTTAGAGCTACGCCATTTCGACCCCGCTGTGTATGCGGTCTGAGATGCTGTCTCCGCTAGAGGTCGATATGACTCCCACCGACGGCGGTCGTTCCAAGCGGGCGAAGACTGCGCCGTCATGGTTAGCTGATTCATATGAATACGGGGAGCGGAAGAAGAAAGGACGACGCCTACCGGAACCCAAGAGGCGTAAAACAAGCACAGAAAAATGTGGCGCGGAGGATAAGAACGCGGGGCATGACGAAGGTAACATTTGTGACGTGACAAGTACGTTGCATTTCATGTACCAGTGCTAATGCATAACTGTGGTGGGATATGCCGTATGCGCACGCAAACTTAACACCCTTCTACCTACCACGCACCTGGTCACAGAGATTCGAGAAGTGCCGCTGCAGATATGCAGCGCCAAGGCTGTCGGGGCCGTCGACGTGGAGGCAGCCTGCACGCCCATTGTCGCCAGCGCACCACAAGGGGAGGAGGACACCGAGGCCGTGAAGGAACGCCTGATAGACGAGTTAATGGAAGGCGAAGATGAGGACGACGAGGAGGGAAACGCTGGTGGTCAGTCGTCAAGCAACGATCCGTGTGGCGAGAACGGATCAGAGGAGGAGCAGGCCACAAAAGCGCCACATTCGAGGAAGCGGATAGAAGCAGCCGATGGCCAAGTCACACGCGAGGAATTTGATGCGTTGCGTGATTCCCAGAATGATACCGCGAAGACACTGGCTCGTCTGGAGTCACACGTACTAACCATCATCCGCCTTGGCGAAGGGCGTAAGCGGAAGCGGGCGTCCACAAGTGCCGCAGCCTCGCTCGGCCGAGAAGCTTCGAAGCGGAAACGCCAGTCAGATGATGACGAAGAATCCACGTGCGATGAGGACGAGTTGCCGGCGAAAGTGGCACGGCACGCGCGTCACGACAAGTCGCCAGTGCTCCAAACCGCCCTTGACATCCTTCCAGCGGAGAAGGCTTGGAAGGTGAGGCCTCGCATAGTGTGTTCTGCTCACCTCGTGGCACAGTTGTTGGATGCACTACATATCTCGTCACCGTGTTCCCCCCCCGCACAACTATTTTCATTGTCGCAGGGTGTTTGCGACATGGTTAAGGATCATCTGTTTCTAGAAGCCCCGAACGAGAAGATGGACTTCTATCCGAGTCGCGACGCCAAAAACGCCGGCCTATGCCATGTCGTGTCCACCATTTCTCCCAAAACTGCGACTCTGGCGTTAGACGCGGATAAGGCTCGAGGGCAGGATCTGAACAAGACCTTGTCCGAGTACAAAACAGGGTTGGCCGGTCGCGCTCGCGGAGTTTTTCTTCCACGAATTGGTCTTTTCCGTGACGACGAGGACAGGGCCAGTCCTTGGGCACGTAAGACGGAGCGCACTGGGGAGCGTGCTCGAAAGAGATATTGCGTCCCCGTCCCAGACGATGGTGCGTGTTCGCATGTCATATGGCCGTAGCAATTATGGCCGCAACTCCTGTGTCGTGCCATAGTGGACCAGACATGTCTTTGAACCCTCCCCTTTTTCCGTACGCGGTATCGTTGTACCCATTTTGCATTCCACGTGCGCAGGGGACCCGACCTTGTACAAGTGGCACATCAGCAAGGATGGACTGCCCTTTGCATCCGGAGCGTTCGCGGCATGTGCCATCGCGGCTTTCGGAGGGAAGCGGAAGGACAGAGAAACAACTATAAAGCTGTACCACTTGTCGTGGCTCGAGCACCTTGTACGTTTACACCGATGCGAACATATGTTGTAGCCACTTTCGTTCAACTAGCTGTTCTAAATGGGCTTCTCCTGCCTTCGCAGATCACGGACGCCATTATCAACTGGGAGAAGCGCAAGGGGAAACTGCACAACTCTCCGTGCGAGAACGGCGCTTCTGTGCGGAGGATTCAGAAGCTGGCCTTCGATGCCATTGCGGATGCAGTATGCCGGAATGAAGTGGCCTACGACGAGGAGAAGAAGTCCTGGAAGTGGGGCAGGAATGGGCTCCGTCTATCATCTTGCGGCCTGGAATGCCTCCTGGAAGATGAAGCAGCCTCCGAAGACGAAGAACATGAGTCCTCCGCGTCGGAAGCATCGGATAGTGAAACAGATGGGTGAAGTGCTGATAGTGTGTTTAATCCAATTGTGTGTCGTAGACTAGTGTAGTGGTTTAGTGGGGACAGGTTGTGGTTGTTGTTGGTTCAGTGCATATGTGCAATAAATCGGTGACATATATGTTGGATCTTGCACACCTAGGGGAGACCTTGCGCATGTTGGACACGAGGATGGTTGAAACGCAACTCTCTACATTCCGCGCAGTACGGCGACAATTGCGGCGCTAATCGCGGCGACATATGCGGCGGGTTAAATAGGAGCCGTTAGATGCCACGCTAGTCTAGCGACGTGGATAGAGGGCAACCGTACAATCCGCCGAACCGCTCATCAATGAAACGGGCCTTTTTTTAGACCGACGACGGTGTCCAATGGCTATTTGCCACGTGTGTGATGGAGATGGTCACAGGTGTGTTATCGTGAGATCCGCGACGATTACGTGTGAACGTGCGATTGGTATCAGTAGTCCTAGTTGGAAAACCCTATCACCGAACGGACGGCGTGTGTAGGTACAGGTGGATTCCACTACAAATCGAGGGATGACATTTGTATCGGACGGACGGTAGAGATGAGGCGTATGCGTGTGAGATCTGGAGTTTGTCGGCGTATCCGGAGCGGCCATGTGCCGTGCTGCGGTTGGCAGAGCGGAGTTGCCACGCAACAATCGCGGTCGTACAACTGTGGCCATCTCGACCGTACGTGCGGCACGATACGATTCGTTATGGTTGGGCATCCACCTGTCATAAAGCGTGATTACACGTGTAGATATTATGCTGACGTGGAATAGTGACTTCATGTATGCTAATCGGCAGCTATGTGGCAACGCACAGGTGTAACCGTGGAGTGTCCGCATGGTGACGCAAATGTCACTGACAGGTACATGACGTAGAAGCGACCCCCATGTCGCTGTGCGTGTTGCGGCCATGTTGCGGGAAACGTTGCTAAAAAGCTGCGGGAAAGTTGCGGGAAAACCACTTTCCCTGTAACCCTGACCCAGAAGCCTTTGACCTATACTTTTTTCTTGCGAAACCAAAGTTGCGGAAAAGCAACTTTGAAGCTGCGGGGAAGCAACTTTTTCGGCTTTGGTTTTTCGCGATGCAGCAGGGCTGGGCAGGGGTACAGCATCCCTCGGCGGGCGATGCGGAGTGTAATGCAGGGTCCCAGCGGCGGCAACGACGGCCGCGACGGTACACCCGTTTGCGGAAAATCAGCGCATCCGCACCGCCAGGTTCCGCGACGGCGGGGGTCCAGCGCGAAATGCCCTCCACCTCCGCCACCACTTCCCCTCCCGATTCCGCCGCCGCTTCCGCCGCGAGGCTCACTCCCCCGCATGGCGCGAGCTCTGCGCGAACCGCGCCACACGCACTCGCACCGAATTTTACTGCTACGACGACCCAAAGCCCGCCCAGGATCGGGTTCGTCCCGCTCAGGCCGCGCCTTGGGGAGCAACAGCAGCAGCATCAGCGGCGCGAGCTGGAGGGGGAAGGCACGCCGCTGACGGACATTGCGAGCTGCGGCGGCCCGATTGTGGCAAGCCCGAACGTGTACTTAATCTACTATGGGAACTGGCCCGAGGGGTCCGGGCAGGAGGTGATAGAGAACTTCGTGAGCTCGCTTGGCGGGGATGCGGGGGGACAGGGGGACCCGACGGGGGAGAAGAGCGTGCGGCGTTGGTGGGACATCTCGACCAACTACTACCAGACAAACGAAGGCGGCTCCCAGACGTTCGTCACTCCCCAGGTTCGTGTGTGCTCGGTTGATCATCTGCTCCCCTTACCCCTCTGCTTTCGTCACTCCCTAGGTGCGCTTGTGCTCATCTGCTTCTCCTGCTCATCCGCTTCTCCTGCTCATCCGCTTCTCCTGCTCATCCGCTTCTCCTGCTCATCCGCTTCCCCTGCTCATCCGCTTCCCCTGCTCATCCGCTTCTCCTGCTTTTTTCCAACTCCGAATCAGATTGTGTTGGCCGGCACGGCGACTGACCAGGGATCTGGCGCCACGGTGACGGGGAGGGGTCCATCGACATAGGGACTAGTGAGTCGTCGTATCGTGTGTGTGGCTTTGCTGTTGGACCCTTGTTTGACTCTTGCTGCTCGCTTCGCTCCTGCTGCTCGCTTCACCCATGCTGCCCCCATACTGCCCGCTTCACCCATGGTGCCCGCTTCACCCATGCTGCCCGCTTGACCCATGCTGCTCGCTTGACCCATACTGCTCGCTTGACCCATACTGCTTGCTTGACTCATACTGCTCGCTTGACCCATGCTGCTCGCTTGACCCATACTGCTCGCTTTACCCATGCTGCTTGCTTGACTTTTGCTGCTCGCTTCGCTCCTGCTGCCCGCTTCACCCATGCTGCCCCCAAGTGAGTGAATGCAAACACAGCGAGTGAGTGAATGCAAACACAGCGAGTGAGTGAATGCAAACACAGCGAGTGAGTGAATGCAAACACAGCGAGTGAGTGAATGCAAACACAGCGAGTGAGTGAATGCAAACACAGCGAGTGAGTGAATGCAAACACAGCGAGTGAGTGAATGCAAACACAGCGAGTGAGTGAATGCAAACACAGCGAGTGGGTGAATGCAAACACAGCGAGTGAGTGAATGCAAACACAGCGAGTGAGTGAATGCAAACACAGCGAGTGAGTGAATGCAAACACAGCGAGTGAGTGAATGCAAACACAGCGAGTGAGTGAATGCAAACACAGCGAGTGAGTGAATGCAAACACAGCGAGTGAGTGAATGCAAACACAGCGAGTGAGTGAATGCAAACACAGCGAGTGAGTGAATGCAAACACAGCGAGTGAGTGAATGCAAACACAGCGAGTGAGTGAATGCAAACACAGCGAGTGAGTGAATGCAAACACAGCGAGTGAGTGAATGCAAACACCGCGAGTGAGTGAATGCAAACACAGCGAGTGAGTGAATGCAAACACAGCGAGTGATTGCTGAAACATCATTATCCCTCCAAGTGAATACCCTCCGACCGCATTCCGCATCCCGCTCCAAAGCCTTGGATTTTACCATGACACTCCATCGTCAATTACCCTATCCAAAAATAAAAAACATGTCCACATATCCCCCACCCCATCCAGCGTGTCGCCCAATGGCATGCCCGGAATTGACAACATGGTCTCCACCATTGGTCACGAAATCACCGAGGCTGCTACCGATCCTGACGTCGCTACTGGGTGGCTGACCTCTGAAAACAATGAGAACGCCGATCTGTGCGCGTGGCAGTTTGGTGAATTTTCTCAGGATACTGATGGCGATGGCAACACTTATGACTACAACATGGTCGGGAATGGTGGGATGCGGTTCATGATTTCTGCTAACTGGGACCTGATTTCGGGTTCATGCCAGACTCAAGCATAGGTTGTGTTCTAGAACTGGAATTGTGAGGAGTTGTCTTGCTCGGAGATGCTCCCGCACATGCATTTTGCTAGGGGTGTTTCCATTCGGTATTGATTATTGCAATGGATGGAATGTAGGGAAATGGTTTGAGACTTGGGGCCCTAGTTTTATTTATGTGCATATGCTTTGAGTTCTGGAAAATGATTTTAACCCGTTTTGTTATGAGTTGTAAAAGAGAGTGCGCAGGTAAACGAATAACGAGACTGTGATTGAATGAACTGCGAATACAATGAAGGCACAGACTAATGTAGGGGCTAGCCTAGCTAGGCGGGAACCTCGGACGAGCGAGGTTGGGTGCAGGTTTGGCGATGGGAAATGCCGAAGGTGACGCGAGGAGCCTTGGCAGCGTTGAGATCGGCCGAACGTGCAAAGTCCGAAAATCGGGGCTGTACGCGAAGCAGTCAACCCCGATAAGGAATTCGGGAAAATTCCTTACACTACCCCCCCCCCCCCCCCTTAAGAAAGGTGGTCAATATCCGGAACACGCTTGCGCGCCAAGTAATCAGCAACAAGTGGTGAGGCGTCCAACGAGGCGGAGTGCACCCACATGTCGTCTTCACTGGTGCGGTCAGCCCAACGGATGAAGAAATCCACGTGGCGACCAGCTGCGTCAAGGCGAACCCGATGCGCCATAACCTTTGATGGGTCAAGAGTCGGCTCTGGGACAGGTCGTGCTGTAGGGGCAGCATTTTGTCGCGCGATGTCTGTCGTGGCTGGCACGAACTTGCGAAGCAGGCTGACGTGGAAGGCGTCATGGATGCGCCAGTCGTCGGGTAGCAACAGCTTCGCGGTGACAGGTGTCACCATCTTGATAATCTTGAAAGGCCCACAAAATCGTGGCCGTAGTTTTGACGGGCTGGGCAGGTGCTGATTCTTCGTGTTAAGTAGCACTAGTTGCCCAGCTGCCAAGACGGGGCTTAAAATTTCGTTCGACGTAGCTTCCATGTTTTCGCGGTGTCCCCGTCTTCGACGGAGCTGTTGTTGTCATTCAATGCAGGGCTCTCGTTAGCAGACTAATTTAGTCTGTTGGTCTAGGTTTCAGGTGCGAAATGTATCGTTCATATGCTGTGGCAGACTTTAGCTTATGGGCCATATGAGAGCCAAGACAAATGCTATAGCGTCATATGTTTTTTCAGGAAACTTATAGCAATTCATCTGATCCAGCAGAAATCGCGTATTGTTTCGTCTGAATGAGACAAAATGGCCCAGTTGGCCAGAGGAGCAGCGAGGTGTTGCATGTGAAGGCACGCGTAATGATTTTTGCGTGAGGGCACGGGGGTGAATTTCGGATTCTTCCTGCCAGCCCATTCTGCATCTGACTCAGTTGCTGCCACGCATCTGTCGGGTAGCTGTTGTCGGCGCCGCTGCCAAGCTGTTGCCCCTCACCTCGCTGGCAGAGTGCAAGGACAGTCGGTGCACATCAAAACAAAGCATGCACACACCTTCGTGAAACCCTCGTGAGAGAGGCGCGGCGCGGTTCGTGAGGTGATGGTCCCTTCCCTTCCTTTCTTCTCCAAGCCTTTCTTTGACAACCTGCCTTTACCTTTCAATCTTTGACGCCTAGCCCGAAGCATACCTATCGTCCCGTAGCTTGTTCTCGCGTACCGTCTAGAATTCCTTTCTTGCTACTGCCTCATGTGAGGTGATACACCACCTCACACCATGCTATCTGGCGCCCTCGAGTCAACCGACAGCGCTAGGCGTGATCCACCCGGGGTACCTGACGAGCCACGGGTTTCTGCGTTAGATTTCCTAACCCGTAAAGCTCCGGCAGCAATTCGTGTGACTACCACTGCCGCAGTCGAGACGCCTCCGCCTGTAATTCCTTCCCCCAACGTCATCACATCTTGCAACGACGAGCCGCTTATCCCCTCGCAATCTACGTCAGACGCTACTGAGACTGCGACCCAGCCTAACCCGGCTGAAGCTGAGTCTTCGCCGCTGCCCGTTTCGGCATCTGTGGCCACAACTCTACCGGCGATTTCTGTTTCTCGCATTAGAGCAGGGAACGGAAAATACAAACAGCGAATTCTGAGCTGTGCCCGTCCCACTGCAGGTGTCCCGCCAGCAACCGTCCCCCGCTTTAGCACAACTCGCCCGGGCCCGTCACAACCCGTCACCGCCAACGACGACGACAAGTATCCGCGCCCCTTGACCGTCGAGCAGTGGCAGCAGAAGGCTAACGAGAAATGGCTAAAGCACTTCCCGTGGCTCATCATCTCGGAGACTTCATGGGGTCAACCCTGCATGAGGTGTTCAATCTGCATGGTGCACGGAGACCCCAGCTACCAGTACGGCCGCGATGGAAAGGGTGGGCTGGACATTCAACGACAGACGATGCGGAAACATCAACATTCCATCAAGCATGAGGCGTCAGTGGACCGCCAACAGCTACGTGACGGCAAGAATGCTGCTCAGAAGTCGATTGTCGACTTCGAGAACGGTGACGTGGAAGCCAAGCGTTTGATAAAACTCCTGGCAACAGTTATTTTTATTTGCAGAAGCGACTCACCCATTGTGCTGTTTGTGACCCTGGTCCAGTTCATGGCAGAGATGGGCACGCCCGACATGCCCCTGAAGGATTCCGGCACCTACTACAGCGAGTAAGTGTTTTTTTTTTTTGCGGGTTTAGGGTTTAGTTGAAAACCACGGTACTAATTACCTTGTCTCTGGTCGTTACAGGTACGGATTTGCGTAGTTGGTTGAGACGCTTGTCATCTACCTCCGTGCTCAACAGATGAAGCACATCCGAGAGAGTCCTTACCTGGGCATTCAATTGGACGAGAGCACGGACCGTCGGCGCGGGAAGCACCTGATAGTCTACTTGTCGTTCCTCCGCAGCAACACTCCCGTCACTGAATTTTTCGCGCACCTAACAGTTGAGCAGTGCGATGCTGGTTCCCTGCAGGCAGTCCTTCTAACCCACTTGGAGTCTACCGGCCTCGACCTTGAGCGCATCAGTGGCATCAGCACTGACGGTGCAAGCGTCATGGTCGGTTCTCAGACGGGCCTGGTGGCACGCCTTCGTGGGCGGATTCCACACCTCGCCGGGTTCCACTGCATCGCGCACAGGTTTGTAACCCTGTGATGTTATGCTTACCTTTTAATCGTTGCATATGTATCTAACTTGTTGCTTTTCCGTGTTGTGTCAGGGAAGCTTTGGCCGCAAAGGATGCAGCAGAGGCCTACCCCGACCTTGACATCGTCGACCATGTCGTCCGTTCCTTAGCGGAGCTCCTTGGACGGTCGGGCAACTTCCACCTACGCTTCAAAGAGCTGCAGCAGGTGCTGTGTGAAACTAACCTGGAGTTGCAAGGCATCCACAGCGTCAGGTGGCTTTCACGTGGTCTGGCGGTGCAGCGACTGGCTGACAACCTTCCAGCTGCTGTCATACTGTTGTACGAGAACGACCCGAAGGCGTACCTCCTTGTAACCAGTTTGAAATTCCATTTCATGCTGTTTTTCTTGGCTGATGTGTTGAAGGAACTCAACGCACTGAACCTCAAGTTCCAGCGACGACAGGTACGCTGTTACGCCTCCATATGAGAACTGTTTTTAGCGTAAATGAATCGTGTTAATGAGATATTTACCCGTGCATGCCTTTCCACCGCCTCTCATGTGTGTGTGGCAGGTCGACGTGACACACGTGCTGCAGATGGTGGACAACACTAGGCTCACCCTCCGCAACCGTTACCTGAGTGACGCGGACGACTTCGGAGATGGGAGCAACGAGCTGAGCGCCTTCTTGTCGAAGCATGCCTCGTCGGACAAAAGGGAGGTGAAGGTGACGGGCACCGACTCGACTGGCGCCCCGACTACTCATGAGTACACCCTCCATGAACAGAAAATCAAGGGTCAGACATCTGGCCCGGGCCTGGACGACTGCATCACACTGGCGACGGGTTCGTGAAGGAGCTGTTGAAGCGACTGGAGACCCGGATGAAGGATCTGGGCTCTCTCGACGGCGCCAAGCTGTTCACGCAGGGGGCGTACCCGAAATCTCACTCGAAGCGGCAGCGTCGGATTTTGCAGTGGCTGGAGGCTCTCCGCAAACTGTTTAAGCGGAAACCGTCCGACCCTGACACCCTGCCTGGTACGTCTTCGATTTCGGTTGTGCTTGATTGAGTTGTCTAGGGTGTTTGTGTCACCGTATGCTTCGTTGGTTGTATGAGCTTGTGTACTTTAGTACAACAGCCCGTATTCTCAGGGCGTATTCGTAGCTTTGTGTCATCCCGACTTTGTGTCATCCAAAATTGTGGGAGCCAATCTGAAAACCCGCGGTTCGAGATTCGAATTTTCCGATTGGATCCCATGATTTCGGATGACACGAAGCGTAGATGACACGAAGTCCCGAATACGCCCTCATTAAAAAGGTTTCTGATTCACACCCCGCCACCAGGAATCAACTGGACGAGAGCACAGAAAGAGATCAGCAGCTTCACCACGATCATGTCGACCCATCACCGCGAGCTGAGCTTCCAGGACGGCCTGAAGCAGATGCTCAGCTCGCCCGACTGGTGCACGGCCTACCCCAACCTGGTCCGCCTTTGAATGGCGGTCGCAGTGCTGCCCCTGAGCACCGTGGAGTGCGAGCGAGGCTTCTCCCGCCAGAACGTCATCAAGAGCTGGCTACGCGGCAATCTCAACGACGCGAAGCTTGGCGACCTGATGACCATCTCCATGCTGAAGTACGAACCTGACTGGCCCGCCCTTGTAGAGTTGTGGAGAGGTGCGAAGAAGCGACGCCCAGCCAAGGATGTGGTGATGGTGCATGCGCAAAGGCCTCTGAAGCGCACGAGGAAGACCCTTGCGATGCTGGCCGCGAAGCAGGCGGCAGCAACAGCAGCAGCAGCAGCAGAGGCTGCTGCTCGTGAAGCAGCAGCTGCAGAAGAAGCAGCCAGGCTAGAGGAGGAGTGGGGCCCCTGGCAGAGACGGGCAGACCACGGCAAAGAACACATTGCTTCAGATTCAGAGCTAGACGGGGACGACGAGGAAGATTATTCTCATGATAGCGACAGTGACTCCTAGTTCATTATGAATGTATGGTTATCTGTAGTAATAGAGTATAGTATGTGTGTAGACCATATAGTTAAATAAATGTCTGATTTCGTGTAAATCCGTCTGAGCCGGCATACTAACTTATAAAATCCGTCTGAGGCAAAGACCACCAGGAATCCTCCATATGAGGGCCAGACAATTTTTTTTTTTTTTTAGGAAAACTTCAGACGGGCCTAAAAGTTAGCAAGAGCCCTGATTCAATGGGGTGTCGGAACATTATAGCTTATGCTGTTGTGTAGGCTATAGTGGGGTATCCCATAGGGGGTACAACCAATTAGGGTTTCATATTTGTACTCACTTCATTTTCATAGTCCACCCCATTCTCGTTCTCATTCTCACATGGAATCAGAGCAGGTCCCCTCCTAGGGACTGTTCCTTGGGCCCACCGAAGCGCGCCTCGAGTCGCGCCTGCCTTTTTTTTAGCGGCCCGTCGAGTCGCACCTAGCGGCCCGTCGCGCCGCCCTTACGGTCGCGTCGAGCCGCCCTAGCGGCTGCGGCGCGCCGCCCTTTTCCCGGCCCGTCGCCGCCCTTACCCGCGGCTTTGCGCCGCCCTCACCGGCGGCTTCGCGCCGCCCCTACCTGCGGCTTCGCGCCGCCCAGGCCCGTCGCCGCCCTTCCCGCGGCTTCGCGCCGCCTCTACCTGCGGCTTCGAGCCGCCCCGGCCCGTCGCCGCCCTTACCTGCGGCTTCGCGCCGCCTACGGCCCGTCGCCGCCCTTTTCTGCGGCCCCGCCGCCTCTCTCGTTGCGGCCCCGCCACCCGTCTTCGCGGCCCCGCCGCCTCTCTCGCTGCGGCCCCGCCGCCTCTCACTGCGGCCCCGCCGCCCTACTCAGCGGCCCCGCCGCCCGACTTCGCGGCCCCGCCGCTTCTCTCGCTGCGGCCCCGCCGCCTCTCTCGTTGCGGCCTCGCCGCCCTTCACTGCGGCCCCGCCGCTTCTCTGCAGCGGCCCCGCCGCCCGTCTTCGCGGCCCCGCCGCCTCACTACCCAGCGGCCCCGCCGTCCTTCTGCAGCGGCCCCGCCACTCCTCTACAGCGGCCCCGCCGCCCTACGTCAGCGGTCCAGCCGAGCCGCCCAACAGCAGCGCAGCCGAGCCGCCCAGCAGCAGAGCAGCCGAGCCGCCCCGCCGCCGAGCCGCGCTGCAGCCGAGCCGCCCGGCCGCCCACCAGCCGAGCCGCCGTGCAGCCGACCGCCCAGCCGCCGAGCCGCCCAGCCGCCGAGCCGCCCAGCCGCCGAGCCGCCCAGCTGCCGAGCCGCCCAGCCGCCGAGCCGCCCAGCCGCCGAGCCGCCCAGCGGCCGAGCCGCCCTGCAGCCGAGCCGCCCGAGCAGCCCTGTCCGGTGAGCACAGACCCTCTGTCACTGCGTGCTCTTCCCCTACTCCTTGCACTGCTGGTCTACTGCTGTCATGGCTACCCCTAGTATCCTCACTTTTGACGCTGAGGGTCGGGCCATTGACTTTGAGGTCTGGGTAGATGACCTACAGCTGTTCTTACAGTGCGATAGGGCGGACGGCCTCTCTCTCTTTGACCTCACCTCTGGCGCTTCCCCTGCCCCTGCTGCTGATGCTGACGCCACTGTTCGCTCCCAGTGGGCCACGCGCGATGCTGCTGCACGTCTTGCTGTGCGTCGCCACCTCCCTACCTCCGAGCGTGCGCACTTTAGTCAGTACAAGAGTGCTCATACCTTGTACGCCGCTGTAGTCGCGCGCTACTCCTCCCCTTCCACTGCTGCACTGAGCCGTCTCATGCTGCCGTACCTCTTCCCTGACCTTGCTTCTTTTCCCACCGTTGCTGACCTCATTACGCACCTCCGCACTAGTGACACTCGCTACCGCGCTGCACTTCCTGCTGACTTCTGCACCGCGAACCCCCCCCCCATGTACATCACTCTGTACTTCCTAGTCACTCGCCTCCCTGACTCCCTTCGAGTAGTCAGGGACCACTTTCTCTCAGTCTGTCCCACCACACTCACTGTAGACCTCCTCGAGAAGGCCCTCCTCGCGATAGAAAAGAGCATAGTCGCTGTAGGAGCCTCTCGAGGTGACCCGCGCACCCCCATCTTTGAGGGGTGTTCTCCCTCCCCCCTGCTGCCCTCTGTTGCCTCTGCTGCTTCGGCCGACCTCCTTGGTCTTGAGTCGGTCGGTGCGGCGTCTGCCCCTAGCGGGAGACGCCGCCCTGGCAAGGGAAAGGGGGGCAAGGGAGCTGGAGGAGCGGGCGGTGGAGGTGGAGGTGGAGGCAGTGGGGGGAGTGGGGGTAGCGGTGGAGGTGGAGGTGGGGGTGGGGGGTTCGGTGGCGGCAGTGGAGGCGGAGGCCGCGGCGGCGGTGGCGGTGGTAGCGGAGGTGGCGGAGGAGGCGGCGGTGGAGGAGGCGGTGGAGGCGGCGGCGGCAGTGGAGGCAGCGGAGGCGGTGGAGGCGGTGGGGGTGGCGGTGGAGCTGGTCGCGGGTCTTTGCAGAGGAGTGGCTCCGGTGGTGGCTCGCGCCAGCAGCAGCAGCGTGGTCGTGCGACCCTGTCCCCTCAGCAGCTCCGTGAGTGGTACACTGCACGCCAGCGGGGTGGGGGTTTTGGTCCGTGTACCTACGTCCTGCGCACCGACGACCGTGCGGGTGAGCAGTGTGGGGGTGCGCACCCCACTCCGCGCTGCTTTGGCCGCCTGACGGACGCATGGCGTCACCAGTTCCCGGAGGCCTCCGAGATCCCTCGCTGGGACGAGCTGTCTAGGGCGGGGGTTGCCATCTTTGATCTGGACTTTGATGCTATTCTCTCTGCCATGTATGCTGTGTCTATTAGTGATGAGGGTGACTGTTACCGGTGTTTCCAGCCCGATCCGAGCATTGAGACTGCTGCTCTAGGTACTGGTGAGGCTGCTGCCCTAGGTGCTTACGACGCTGCTGCTCTAGGTGCTGGTGTGTCTGCGTCCTCAGGTACTGGTGAGTCTGCTCTCTCAAGTACCGCGTCGGCTTCGGCCTCCCTCACCTTCACTCTTGACTCTGGGGCGTCTCGCTCCTTCTTTCGGGACCGCACCACACTCACGCCGCTTAGTCGGCCGGTTGCGGTGTCTCTGGCTGACCCCTCTGGGGGTCCGGTCCTGTCTCGTTTCTCCACAGTCCTCCCGTGTCCGGCGGCTCCCTCTGGCACCCTGTCTGGTCTCTACCTCCCCTCGTTCTCGACGAACCTGGTGAGTGGTGCTGACCTACAGGATGCGGGTGTCCACCAGTTCACTCCTGCACGTCAGCGAGTGACCCACTGTACAGAGGCTGGCACAGGCCGACACCTGGCTACGTTCACCCGTCAGCCGGGGTCGAGCCTGTACACTCTGACCACTGCGTCTCCTCCAGTTGCTGAGTCTGGTAGGGTAGTTACGTCGGGTCAGGTGTTTGCTGCGGCGTCCAGGTCTGGTCCTGAGTCTGCCCCCTGTTCGTGTCGTCTCCTGTCTCACGAGACTCTCCTCTGGCACCACCGCCTTGGCCACCCCTCTCTGCTTCGGCTCAGAGGTATGGCCTCCCGTCTTCTTGTGTCCGGTCTCCCCCGGTCCCTCCCTCCCCTTCCTCAGGGCCCTGGCCCTGCCTGTGTCCCCTGTGTCGAGGGGCGCCAGCGTGCTGCCCCTCACTCCTCCCAGTTTCCTTCGACAGAGGCCCCGTTGCAGACACTTCACATGGACGTGTGGGGCCCAGCCCGCGTCCGTGGACAGGGTCACGAGCGCTACTTCCTGCTCGTTGTTGACGACTACTCGCGTTACACCACAGTCTTCCCCTTGCGCAGCAAGGGTGATGTCACTGAGGTGCTGATCGACTGGATCCGCGCAGCTCGTCTCCAGCTCAGGCAGAGCTTCGGCTCGGACTTTCCTGTTCTGCGTCTGC